GATGGTAATAATAGTAGTAACTGTGTAATACCATGAAACTGTGATATTTATTGAGACATTGCCCCAATGTGGATATTTGTTGTCAACAAACCTCTGCAGACAGTGCTTCCAAAACCACATCTCTCATAGATATGAGGGCAGCTGAATTTTAAAGCTGTGAGACTTTTTTTCCACAACAGACAAGAAAAAAAACAGGGTGGCCTGTTTAAAAAAAAAAAAAAGTCCAGCCAATATAGCACTCACATACTACTGGAATATGCCCTTTAGAACTGGATATTCTGCCCAGAGGTGCAAAGAGGTGTTGCTTTTATTTCACCTTTGATTCAAGTAGGCATGGAGGAGAGTCAAACAAGAACAAAAATAATTCTTTCGAACTTGGCAAGGCTAGAAAAACCCCAAGAAAGCAATGGTCAGAGGACCACTAAACCAAGCTTTTATTCATCATCACTAGATGGATCCCAATGTGTTCATCATCAACCGGTGAAGCAGAGGGACATTTTAAATGCAATCCTGTTCCTGCCTCCCCCACCATTTCTCCATCACTCACTCTCTAGTGATCTGACACAACACCCAGTAATGAACAGATGTCTGAGCTCCTGGGACCATGATAAAGATGGCTCGATGATAACCTGTTCTGGGCAGCAGGTAACCAGCTCTCCATTCTAATCTGCTCATTAACAAATAAGAATCACATTCTTGCTACCCACAGAAAGGAATATGCAGGGATAGATGCCTGACATACAAGATAGCAAAACTGAAGGGTCTCCTACATCTGCATACTTAAGATTTTTGCCTTTACCTTATCATAAATAAAAAAGATGCTTGCAACATTTAGCTCACCACTTTAGAGCCACATGCTGATGAAGGAAAAGTGATCTAGAAAAGACCCAAGAGTGGAACTGTGCCACACTGTCAGCAGTGGGATTTGCAGTGCAGTGGAAAGGCACAAGGGCAAACAAAGAACTTGACAAATTACACCAAGAAGCAGTTACCCGCACATGGAGACATCTATTCCCATTTTCTATATAAAAAAAAAAGATCAGTGGAACTTTGAGAAAAGGAAAAAGCAGCAATGAAAGATAAATATCTTTCATACTGGGTGACCCTGGACAGGAGACTCCACCTGCATTTGAGGGGGAAGAATGATATGAAATTTGCATAAGGGCATGTCTACACTCAAAGCCTTCAACTGGGATGGCCAGGGGAGAATTAAAATGGGTTTTCTCATGTTACAAGCAAGGCAGGTTGTTTAACACTGCAGAAAAGAGACTTGGTTATTTGTTATCCTTACATTCTTTCAGCGGTGATTAAGTGTCAGATGTTAAAAGACCCCTCAAGTTTTCTACCCTTCACTACTCATCTCTCTAGCTCACTCTTTCTCCCCTCATCTCCCTGGGGACAAGGGATTACTGGCACACTGGTACACAGAAATGGCACTTGTTCAAAATTAAAAGGCTTTCACAGGCCACTAATCTAATGAAGATGTAAGAGGGTTGTGAGGGGTGGTGAGCAAGTGTCATTTCAGCTGCAGAAATTAAAGGAAAAGAGCAGATTTTCATGTTTACCACCAACACTGCACTAAAGACTAAAAAGAGACTAAGGCATGAAAAGAACTTTTTTCTTATTCCCATGACAGGCTAAGACCAACATTTAAAAAAAATAAATAAATAAAATAAAAAAAGTTGGGGCAAAAAGAGAGTGGCAATTGAGTTACAAGTGTGCAATCTCAGTATTATGTAACAATGATTCTGTTGTGTTTGCATCAACAGGGAGATGCCTTGCATCAAACCAAGCACTCCGTTTTCCTCACCATCCTGATGTCATGATCATCCACTGGCCCAACCCCAAGTGCTGCTTCATCTGCTGTAGGGCAGCAGCCATTCAAATACAGTAACCTCTCAAGCCGTTTTCACATAAGAACTCCAGACAGAACCAAGCCAGGGCATTGTTCAGAGCTGCTCTTTCCAACATGGCACACAACAGGAGATAGTCTGTGTCAGGCACTATCCATAGACTGAAAATACTCCATTTGGTTAACGCACTCAGGGTAGAGTAGGTGGGAGGTAGGACATAATGTGGTCATTGAGACTGTTTGTAATTTGGTCTTGCTGTTCCTTAAATTTGTCTCACAATTTTAGCACCAGCCATTAACAACAGAGCTCCCCGTTCGTTTTGTATCTCCAGTTAAATATCTCTGTTGGCATTTTCATTGTAAATGACCATTCTTCTTCACCATCAAGCACTTGTATTCTTCTGGTTTCATGCCAGTCACATGACAGTACGTCATCAACTTGCCTACTAGCTCAGTGTGAACACTTCAGACTATACGCTGCTGTTTTCTCACATGGGCTCACTCAAATTTCTTTAAGTCTGCTTAATGTCCAGGGGAGCTAACTCAGACATTTGCTTTTTCACATACAGCTTCTCCAGGTAATGTCTAGCTAATTTCAGGGTGACAGTCTCAGGGTATCCCTGTGCCTGCCTGTCAATCAAGCAGTGCAATCTATCATTTTTTATTGTACAACCAATAATGTACTGTATCTTGACAGAGTGATCTATGTTCAACTGCCTCTGTTACAAAAGCTGGGAGCCCTCTACATTTCTCTTTATCTTTTACAGTCATCACTCTTTCAGCTATATAACCTTGAGTGAAGCCAGCAAAAGATGCATTAGTAGGGGAGGTGGAGGTCATATTCATAGATTATTTTCTTGCCAGAGTAGTGACTCATAAATACAGAACAGCAGACCTCCCCCTCTCTTTAATCATCGAACTTTCCAAAACAACTACAAAGAAGTAGTAGAACCACCTCTGCGTCTGAGCACTTTGCCTGTTCACTCACTGAATCTCTACAAGCACCCTGGGTGTCATTCCAGAGCTGACCCTGTCCTTTGACCTTCATGTATTGAGGAAGCAGCATAAAGAGCTTAATAAAACAATTCTTTTTGCAAACTACACATCCAAATGTGTATGCCAAGGGGCCCTCACCTGCAAGTTCGTGGTGGATGAGATCGGCAAAGTTGGGGTTGTCCCCCCACCAGAAGAGCCAAAGTTCCCTCCGGCCTTGTCTCTGACTGCGCCGCCATACGCTTAGAACGTCAGCCTTCAGGCAGCGGCTGAAGCTGCATAGGATGGGGTCCTCCTCTGTCACTGGGAAGAGGATGGGTGCAGAGGTGGGACCCTGCCACACAAACCTCTTCCATTTGATCCCTGTCAAGTCAGCCTGCAAGACAAGGAAAGGGGAGAGAAAGAGAGTGTCAGTGTGCACTTCAGAAACCACTCAGCACTCTAGTCAGAGTAAACATGAGAAGCAGAGTAAAAGACTAGGTATTAGTCCTCTTTTATGGGTCAGTTAAACCAATAACTACTTGAACAATAACTACTTTGAAATCAGGAAAAAAAAAATTTGCAAGAAAAATGTAAAGATTGAAAGAACAAGAAAATTTGCACTTTTGTGTGTTCATACAAACAGGAAATTGCTCATAAAAACTGGGCCATTTGTTTGTTTCTGCAAAGTGCACACTTATGCTTCAGGTGCCTTCAATATCAGCATGAACAACATGTTCAAAACACAGATATAAATGCACACTATTACTGGTAAATGTGGTCTCATGACCTTAATCCTCAGTACTGGTGAGTGCTAGAGGGGTGCATCGCCTTTCTATAAACAAACACAATGTCTGGTTTTTATAGAGAGAACAAAACGCAGGGGGCAAAGCCTCATAGGCAGTAAATAATTGGGGGGGTTATTCTATGTTGAAGCAGGAGCATTACTTCCCCCACTAGCTAGCACTGCTGCTTATTACCCAAGCACCAACAGACTGACCCATGTCAACATAAACATGCGTACACAGAAACACACTAACCAACACAAGACAGATACACAATGCCTTAAGGCATAAAGCCCCATTTCTGTGGGCAATTTGACCCTTCATCCATCCTTTAGACATTTTAAGTAATCTGTGCAAACACTGACTGTTTGTTTTCATGTGTTTTAGTTTTGTTCCATTCAGGCTAAGCTGGCAAGCTGTCCCTCATGTATATCCAATCAGCTAATCCATTACTGGATATCTGAAGTGAAATGCAGAGATGCTGAGCCCAACAACTGAGGAGTGGAGGCTGTGGCAAAGCGCAGGTCTTCATCTGGCTGTGCAGCATACAGGCTAAAGTCTTATTAAGTACAAACTTTGCTTTCTTAAAAATTAGAAAGCCTGTGTTTAATTTATTCTTCACTACTAACATGAGAAAAAAAGTGTCTGGCAAGTCTACAAAAGTCCAAGGTAACATTGTAGTGTCGTCATAGCTTAAAATATCAGGATGCACGATCAAAACACCATAACCTCTGATGCACTACTTTGCTGAATCCAAAAGCCACTACACATGCTGAGGACAATTTCCACGGTGCAAAAAGCGAAGCTAGGGCTGTGTGTAACTACAGAGCTGCAGCAGTTAGGCTTCTCTTTCCTGCTGGAGTGAGACCTACCACATTACACCTGCTTCTTGCTCGGAAACATCTGTACACACAATGCAAAGGGGGGTGGGGGCAACGGTTAACTGTGAAACCAGATCATGAGCAGTACAGATAGGCAATTAGCAAGAAAATACCCCATCATCCTATTGACCATGGGCAGCTCGCAGTGGGATTGAGTGCTGCACTGCATAAAGGTTTGGTTCTGAAGTACCCTATAGATGTCATTATCCACCTCCCTCCTCATAGATATTGGTTTCACACTTTTAGACTATATGTTGCACACAGACAACCAGGCATCAGGCTGGTCACAGGGCACCAATACTTTGGTTTGAATTACACAAGTCATATTCAAATCATATTTCAGTAACTACCCTACCCCCAACCAAGTAACATTTAAGTGTGTTCTAACCATTTACACCATCAACTGATTAGTTGCTAAAACATTATCTGATGACAAATGGATGATCAATTAACTGCAAATTATTTAAGAACTAACAACAGAAAAACCTTTGCTGGTTACAGATAGAGTTGTGTGTGGTCATGGAAAGGTTAAATAGTTTAACAGTCAGCTTTGAAATAACTGACATCTAAAAATCACATGCAGCTTCTTATCACCTACAGTTACTGTAGTTCAACTGTACATGCAGGGCAAAGTGAAATAACTGACCATACCGTGGACACTGACACGCTAACCCAGTTCCTGTCTGAGATTTAGCTTCTGCAGCAGCAATCGCAGCTGAAACACTACTTAATGCTGCTGCTGCTGTGCTGTTGATGTATGAATGAAATGCAAGAGCCTGCAACAGCAGAAGGCTCGAGTCTTCATCTTACACATCTTACAGTTCCATTCACCACCTGTTTTGTTACTGTTTGTTACTAAAGGACGTTTGTATCTCTGCTGCAGCTTCTCTGCCAAGTTGACAACTGAATACACCATGTATCTCTCCTGTAGAATATATGCAACAAAAACAATTCTTCACTGCAGTAACGGTGGCGTCCAAGAAAAAAATACAACTAAGTGCCGTGTGTCCGAATTTTCATTGATGAAAGCAACACTAAGTGCCGTGTGTTAAATTAGTGTTGCTTTCGTCAATGAAAATTCTGACTAAATATCGTCGTCAACGAATCTTTATTGCATGACGAGAAGCAACGTAAATGCTGGTCATGTGACAATGACTATAATTAAATGTATAATGCAATATTGTTGACGAAAAACGAGACTAAATGTGCTTTACAAAATAAAAACTATGCTAAAATGTCTCATTTTCGTTGAACAAAACGAGACGAAATGAAATGTTATAACATTATTTTGTCTCATTTAGTCGCATTATTATTATTATGCAGCATTTCTGTTTCCTGTGTCTCGCTTTAGGGGCTGTATCAGGTCGCGCTGCGCAGACGCAGGCGATGTCACTTCCTTAAGCCCCACTCGCGGCATTATTTAGAAGACAACAAACAAAGTTAAGTCTGACACAGAGAAAGGGACCGATGGCTGGATGTATTCTTGAGTCTATAAGGTAACAATAATATAATAAGATAACCTTGTTTGAAATGGGTTTGCTAAAAGAAACTTTTGGTTTCCTCGATACTACTAGGTACTTATACTATATTGACTGGGTTAAATAGAATTGCATTACTAAAAAGAGACTAAAATACAATTTTCTTTGACTAAAACTAGACTAAATGTCACCAGTTTTCGTCGACTAAAACTAAATGAAAATAGTCAGATAATTTTGACTAAAATAAGACTAAAATGCTCAAACTTTTAGTTGATTGAAACTTGACTAGATTAAAAACCTATAAAACACTGACTGATCAATACCTGGCAACTGCTAGAACCAAGATTCTCCAGATGTACTTGGATTATATTGGAGAAAACAGTGCTGCGTGAGTTTGTTACAATGTAACAACATCATGTTACATGTTGACATTCTGAGTTGCCATTTCTCTGTGGTACTGCTTTGACATTAGAGAGCATGGGGCTGATAAGTTATGGCCTAACACTTCCAGTGAGCTGCTGAGTTAAATTAGCTCTTTTTATAACTGGTAAGCTTAGTTGGGAGAATTAGACAAAAACATCTGAAGTGACATCCAATAAAACCAGCCTGTACCCGCAAGACTTCAAGCACAATTTGTTTTGTTTACACAGGAAGTGAGCCAAGTATTTGCACTGCTGATTCATGTAAACAATGGTGAAGACTCAAAATCTGTTTGTGAAATTTATGATTCCACAAACAATATAATATTCAATTTAATATCATTGTTGAAATATAAAAAGTGTATTGTTGTATTGGCAAGCTATCAGCTGCACAAAGAGATGATCTGATAAAGGTTTGTTGAGCAATGCTAGGAGGCAAAACTCTGGGTCTGAAACACAAAAACAAAGAGTGATATCAAGTATTTTAGGAAAGATTATCCTTATGGGTAATTAGCAAAATAGTGCATCTTTTATAACATCATCAGAACAGAAATTATATTTATTAATATTTAATGGAAAGATGTATACCTGATTTAAAAGGCTTTTAAAGGGACTACTTCTTAACCATGCAATTTCTCTAGTTGCACAGTTGTGCACCAGGTTATTTTACTTAGAAGTTAAACTGGCACTTAACCGCATATGCAATAGCACTAAAAACCAAAAGTTAAAAAGTAAAATAAAGGATAATCACCGTTATTGGCCAAGTATGTTACACACAAGGAATTTGTTTCCGGTACAGAACCGAAATGTAGAAACCTTACTTATTTTCCTCAGAATTTGGACAAAATACATGTGACTGTGTGCAAACTGTGTCCCGAGTCTTTTACCTGCTAATGACAAAAACATTTCCATCTGTTCTTAAATACTTCTGAGCTTGAAGAGACTGAGGTCAACAGTCCCTCTGTCAGAGACTAGACACAGTACCCCACTCCTCATCAACAATATCCACAAGGCAGACTGCTCTAACAAGGAGAAATGTGCTTTCTGCAGTTGTTCTCTCTCTTTGTGTGCAAAAACAGAGCGTGCCAAAAATATCTACATTTCCTTCCAACTTGTGTTACACATGCAATTTGGGTGCATAGTCAATGTTAAGGCATGTGAGCAACTGCTTATAAAGTGTCCTGGCAGGGTGAGAGAAGTTTTATATTTCATAGGCCAAAGCCAAAAATTACACTTCTGCAGTAGGAGGGAAGCTAAGGCCTGTTCATCCTGGGTTTCAAAGGTGTGAAGAAAAAAAAAACACAGCCCTCTCCATTCATATCAATGGGAGACTGCCTTCACTGCAACCAGCATCAGCACCGCAGGGGGCTCCATCAAAACGACCAAACAGTGACATCATCCGGCAAAGGTGCTGCGTTGACTAATCACGTATGGGGGACAATTGGGATGTGTACGTCCATGGGACAAAGACTTTTGTTTACCTTGTTAGCATGAGCATATACTGGTATTCAAAGTCAAATTTAGGCCATAATTGATGCACCATAACGACACACCATGCATTTTCATTCGCACTAGATGTTAAACTGTGTTTTTAATCTATCAATGCCCACACACTAGTTGTAGAATTGGTCCTAAGGTAGAGTAGGCTACATTACCACTATAAGGCAACCAAAACAACGGAAACTCACAGGCTGGAAACATGAATGAAGCCACTCATGTTGTCTCATCACAACGTGGCCATATCACTCCTACACCACTCCCTCTGCACATCCTCACCCTCCAACCGATGCTGCCTCGTATGTTAAAGCACAGGGGAGGGAGATACATTTTTACTGGATCAGTCTGAACGCCTGCTAAGGCCAAAGCCACTGGACATGGGCGGGATGTTTTCTTGAAGTGACACATACTTGGGGCGCTACAACCCCTGATTCTGCCAGCAGATCACATTCCCTCTGGCCAATTACAGTTCCAGGTCTCAGTAGGGAACACTGTGTGCAAACAGCCACCATGCTGCCTTTCAAGATATGAGACAAGCAACAGGTGAAGCTGCTCAAACCATGTCACAGATACACCTCCAAATCTCTGTTTCTTTTCCTGCCCGTTAGCTCTCTTCCTCAGTGAACCCTGACATGGCACAAACATGAAACTAACAAGTGTGCGTTTGCATTTTTGGTTAAAGAGAATGCAAATTCAGTCAGTTTCACTTGCGCTAGTTCATACACAGCTTTTGTTATTTTACTGAATGCCACACTCGGTGCTATCACAAAATGTACGATTTCTGTCAAGTGCTTTTAATAAATGTTACAATGCACTCCAGCACTGAAACATATAGCCATTTAAACTACAAATTTCATACTAAGCCATGGACATAAATGCATAATATTACATATAATTCTAACATGCACTCTGAGTTAGCAAACAAGCCAGCTTTAAAATGCCACAAATGAATAAAAAAAAACAAGTAGGCAGCAAGCAGCATCATACACTGGAGAAGACTGTCCACTGAAAAACTAACGGAGGGAAAAGTACCACAATGTGTTCACATTCTTTCACCATAAAACCACAAAGTAGAGTCTGTTCAGTGAGTGAGTCATAACAGCAGTGGTGTTATGCTTAGTCTCACTGTGCAGGAAAATGTCAGCCAGACAGGCACAGCACCACAACTACCAGCCTCTACCTCCCCTGTTCACTGTAGCCAACGCTGCCTTCAAGTGCTGTTGTAAACATTGTAATTATGAGTTCAGCACACACATATTGAACTGACAGAGTAGTATCGAGAGAGTGGGGATTTTCTGCAATGAAATGTTATGTTTAAGGGGTGGACAGCTTGGAGGCTCCGTCACCTTGAGGTAAAAGCAGTGTAGTAGTTCACTGTATTCTTGTTGCACTAGACTCTATGTCAGTATCACTGCTGATGCATTTCTACTGTCACAACTTTTTTTTTTTTACATAGATGTATTAACAAATCAATCTACACTCTATGGTCTACTTCTGCAACTGCACCACAAACTGGTTGTGTCATTTAATCTATAACAAAAATCTATGTTTTCTAAGGGTTAGCACTTGACAAATCACCAACAGTGGAAGCAATATGTTAAAATGAGCACAGACAAACAGCACTAACAAACCCCAGCTAACCTACAAGTGAAACTGTAGTTAAGACTGCTGACAAGCCAATTAACTGCAACAACAAACACATTCAGACCATGTTCTTGATTGTCTGGGCACTACATGTGCTGTAGTGGCAAAGACTGTGGAGTACACAGTGGACGCTCACTGTATTATTTACCTCACAAGGGATTTAAAGAACACATGTGAACTCCAAGTGGGTAGGAGCTCAGTCATAACTATTTGGGGTGATGTCAACTTGCCATAACTGACAACATGATATGATGAAAAAGATATTCAAAGCCAGACAAACAGGGAAGCACATTATAGGCTTCCCATCTATTTTTAGGGCAGCTTATAGTAATAAAAGTGAAGTGGAGATACTTAGCTACCTGGATATTTGTAATGCTCACAAAGGCATGTCAGATTATATAATCAGCCTGAGGCCCGTACCCTAGTTGGTGTGAATATTACAAAATTAAGTCCAGGAGATTAAGCCACTGACAAACAAGATGCTGACAAATTACAAAATCAACCAACATTTGCAAACCAATACTGACACCATAAACATTGTTGCTATAACGCTCGCTGTGAAAAAGAGCTAACTATTCAAAACAGAAGGGGTTGCTTGTGCAAGTATTGACATTCGTACCTCCAGGAGTTGTCAGTGTTAAACAAAACAACAACACTTCACAGCAAATGCATGGCGATTCCCCGGTCTCTGTCATATCACCTAAGGCTGCTAACTGGAGTGAATCTGACGGATCAGAACTTGATGAAAACATAGTAGAAAGGTAACGAGAAAAAGATGTCAAGTTAATAATAAA